TCGATTGCGTGCAAACAACCAAATCGCAGCGTGCGGATGCAGAAAGGCCGGCCTCTTTTGCTCAGTGATTTGCACCAATTGCCAAGAGAACTATTGTTCGAATGTCGCGAACTATCGAAGATGATGATCTTGACGCAATGGACGAGGACGACGTATGCCCCGATACCGTCAGGACCACAATATTCACGCATACTTCCATCGACCTCAGGTGCTTAATATTCCGAATTTTATAACCTATTTCTCAATAAATTGTGAAACAATTTTTAATTTACTTCTTACCCAAATTTACCCAAATTAAGTACCTAATTTTTAAATAGTTTAATCGATTGACCTTTTTATATTGCGACAGTGCGCGGATTTCGCTCGGTAAAGTAATTAATCCGAAGGTAGTGGCATTACGGAAAAAAGCTCAGGAACAAAATTGTTCATAATTAAAAGATCTACACTTCTTTGATCGGTAAAAATTTAATAAAATTGAATGGTTGGGGAGAAAACGACGAAAAATGGAAAAATAAAATTTTTGCCTTGCGGGATTAATAACTTGAAAAATATTAATGTTATAAAAAAAAGTTTCAGATAAAAAGTTAGTAAATTTAGTTAGGAAAAGAAAAGGTCTCTACAATTTTTCGCCTTACACTAACCATTCTCGAGATATCGAATTAAACCGTTTCCATCGAAATGACCTTGAGCTGACCTCAGTACAACCCCTCAAATTGGAATTTATGCTCAGAATACACCCCCCTATCGATCCTCAAAATCCCAAAACTGTGTTCGCTCATGTTTATTTATTTCGTAATTTGACTGGAGTAATACTACTGTTTTGTACTAGAGAAAGCTTATAGTAACGCCGAAGTAATATGATACGTAACTATAAGGTTTAGCTATATTTTAAGTACGATATATAATATTTATTTCAATTTTATTGAATTTAATTAAATACAATCTCTGATCATTGAATGCTAATATGCTTGAGTTTCAAATCTACGTATACGCATGGATTACATTATTAGTTCGTACTCAAATTATGGAAATAGGATAATGTTGGCGGATAATCGCTTGAAACAAATTAAAAAGTATTTCATTCTTCTACTAGTTAATCAGACCCAATCATCTGTAGTATGTTAACACTACATGTTATCGAAGTATGAGATATTACAGTTCACAAGTGTGTACAGACACAGTACTTGCTCTATTCTCATATCCCGGACATATCACACAAATCATTTATAAGCCGAGTCAATGGGTTTTTAACCTCCGCATCGTATTTTTTTATACATCCCTTTAAATGTTTCAGACCTACCCAGGATTTCTATCCAAAAGACTTAACTAATTTCTGAAGAAAATCACTTATTACTGTATAAAACAGATGTGGAATGCTACCATGGCAAGGAACTTTAAACAAAATAAATAATCTTATGCAAAAAACGTTCATCAGCTCTGAAAAGATTTTAATAAGGTTGTTGAACATGCCATTTATTCTAGATAGAAATGGAAATATTAAAAATTAAACAGAATATGAAGAAAGAATTTTCTGGAATAAAATGGTGCCGTTTTCACGTTAGCAAATACCTCGGGCACCTCATTTATATTTTATATTGCGCTAATGACGCGCATCCGAGGTGCCTTTTCCGTTTCCAAATTCCGTTTTCTTTAAAAAAAGGCTATAAAATCTGCAATTGTCCTGCATGCTTTCATTGCCCTATATTTTATATGCATTGTTTGAAATCGCCATTGATTATTTTTATTAAACAAGACAGTTGAATTTTTTTTTCTCCTTAAATAAATACACGATATAATATATTTAGTAATGATCTTTATTTATTTAAGGGAAGCTGACCGGAACTGTATTAAAGTAGGATACTAATCTTAACGTCTACTTAATATTTCAAGCAAAAGTAACATAAAACCAATTTATTTAAATAAAGCGAAAAGACAGTTAATATGTATATACAATTAATAATTAGTTATACATACATATCAAAGAAAGAAAACGTTTGTTGAATAGGATGTCAATAACGTTAGCTGGCGGTGCTGGATTCGATTCTTGGATTTCGTATGCTGAACTGAGTTGGACTGTCCATTCAAAAGTTAAAATAGACCGTATTAACAAATATTTAATCTGAGATATAAGCTTACTGCTGATGAACCACTTGTAATTGTTAGTACGGTACATCCAATGAAATGAATTTCCTCGTAAAAATGTCATCGAAATAGAAAAAACATTTGTGAACAACAGCTTCTGTCACTGATTCATAGTTTCGTTATTGCCAAAGTTGGCCGGTCACGATTTATCACGCGGGTTCGTGACAATATATTCCCAAACATTGGTTATTTTGACTAATAGAAAAAATAACCAATTTTCCAATTTTTGAAGTTATACTTCTTTAGGCGCGTTATGAAAAATTGATGAGAGTGAAATTTTACGATGCGCGCGCACCGTGACACAAAATTAACAGAATGAAGTTGCCCACGGAAGATGCTACGGCATTGGACATAATTTAAAAACAACATTCGAATAATAATAGAATTTGCGTTACACTTAATGTAAGAGAATAATAATAAATATTTATTTATTTAATTTTTCAAATGTAAACTGAACTTTATGGACTATAATGACTCCTTTTCCAGTCTTTGATTATTTAATTGTAATTAATTATTTGAAGAGTATAACTTCTTACGCTCGTACATAAGTACACGCACCCTTTTTATTTAACCACATGATATGTTAGTAACAGTATTTATTACCAACTTAACCATGCTAAGCCGTTCCTTACATGTTTCGACTATTATTATTTGAGACTTTATTATTAGTATATAAAAGTATTGACATTTGAAACGTTGCCCGTTGATTTTAATAGCAATAACTGAAGTATATTTTTACTAGTTCCTTATTTAAAAATCAAGTTTTAAATTAAAAATCTTATAAAAGCAAAGGTATATCTTGATATCGTCTTGGAAAATACAATTGACCACAATGGATTCGTTATCAGTAAGTGAAATTCGCAACATTGGCACGCCTCAAGAGAATTGAACTGGTAAAAGCGAATTTCGTTCTCCGTAAAGTGGCACTGTGTTTCTACCATTATTTAATTTAAACACCAGTTATATTTTATTGTGATGTTTTATATGTTGAATAACTTTTGTTCGAGACGAAAAAATGGCGTTTTGTAGAAGTTAGACGACCACCGACAACTGAAGTATTTCCGAACTTATTCAATTTAGGGTCCCTTAAGAAAAGAGCGTACCAATTTTTCAAAGGCTGGCAACGCATTTACGAGCCCTCTGCTAATGTATAGGGGTGGTGGTATCATTTAACATTAGGTGAGCCTTCTACCCATTTGCCTCCTATTATATTGAAAAATTTTATGAATGTTTTTTGAAATCCAAAAAAGTTGCTAAAATACCTATGTCCGATTTTCATCATATTTGATTATAGAATTCATATTCTGGTATCAAATATATCATTTCCTCTTATTATAGTAGAATAATAAACCCAATATGTCTAAATATCGATAATGTTTAATTCATGTTCCACCCTTTTGCGGTCGTCAGGATCGAATGAAAGCGGATCTAAATTGACCATGAATCGACATTTTCCGTGTGTTTGGCGACTGAGTAATCGAATATTGATCAGTTTCACGTAAAATGTTATTTTTAGAATTTGAAAACAGAAGCACGAGCTCATTTCAGTGTTTGTTTTTTATGTTCTCTTCATAGTTCAAAGTAGACTCTTGCGACAACTGGTATATTGAATAAACCGAGCGTTCGATCTAGAGCAATCATACAAATATCACAGATTATTTCAGATATGTATTATTACTGAAGTGTTTCCAAACCAATAGGAAACTCGACTTAGGAGTTTAAGAAAAGAAAAGCATTTTTTTTATTCATAAAAGGCAACGCACTCGCGAGCACTCTGGTATTGAGAGTGTCAATGGGCGGCAGTATCACTCAACATCAAATGATCCTCCTGCCCGTTCGCCCCCTGGTCTATAAAAAAAGCATTTTAATAACATAATATTGACAAATATGCTTTATCCTTTTTCTCTCGTTAAAATTCATGCAAAGCACTCTTTAACTACTTAGACATGACAGATATATCAACAAAACAAATCCTGAAATCTGACATCCAAAGCCACAGTCTGCCAGCGCTTAAACCCGGAAGATAATTATAGTTTTTTTTTATGGCTTTGACACGATTTGTGCATTAGCCAGCGTCAAGTATAGGATTTTTATAATTCGTGCTTGTCTTTAGAAATTCGACCGTGTCCTCCATGTACAGTTTTAAGCAGCACCCACAACCCTCCCAAAGGCCAGAACAATTTAAATTAAATTAAAACTTGCCCTCGAACCGGGAATCGAACCCGGTACCCCTCACCTAGCTGCCACTTAATAAGACCGCTAAGCTATTAGGCCCCTAATATAACTATAGTTTAAAACGTAATTACATATAATTCCAGTTATAACTTCAGGACACCTTTAATACAGAGGCTTCAAGTATAATGAGACATGTCTAAACTAACAGAGAGCGCACACATTGTAAAGTCAATCCAAACAACCCTTGGGCTATCGTATGAAAGGGCACTTTGTGTTGAGAGCACCTGATCTTCCGCGTTAACTGAGGGTTCCTTAATCCTTTTAAAGTGCTTTTTATATTATTTACTTTAGACAAAGATGTTATGTTACAGAGTTTCGATTAAATTAATATTTTCCGTTTAAATGCAAGTAAGGCACAAAGTTCCTACACATGGATGTTTTTATTATTTTTTTCTGAAAATAGCTTTCTAGAAACCTTTGCTTCCAAAGCTATATTTTTATAGAGACAAAAAGCGAACCCAGGTCCAGGATATTTTTGTTTTAGTAGTGTAAGTTCACCTCTAATACAAATTAGTATACTAAGTCTGAAGAGACTATATTTTCTTCCCACATTTTATTTTTCTTACAAACATACCTAACCAGCTAATACTTTGAATTAATAAACATAATATATTTCTTTGCAGATAACTCGTTTACAGTAGTAGTGGAGAAAGACGGCCGGGGGCTTGGGATGTCTGTGTGCGGCGGTGGTGGGTTGGTAAGAATCAGAAGGCTGTACCCACCGCAGCCTGCTTGGAGGACCGGCCAGCTTGCACCAAAGGACCTGCTACTATCTGCAAACGGTGTACCACTGGCTGGACTAAGCACCTATGTAAGTATTATAATTTATCGAACGATCCAACATGGATATTTTGATACAACCAACAATTCGACTATTCAATTCTAGAATAATTATAGAAGCGAAATTTCTATGGTTTTTTGTAACTAATGTAATCTTTGTTTAATAATGAAATAGAGAGCTTAGTTTGAATTAATTATTGGACATATAATTGAAAAAGTAGCGCGCCATGTATACTTAGAAGCTCTTACTTGTCCGAATTAGGGAAAAAACCGCCTTCACCAGGGAAGGCGAGGACCTTTACTTCGTACATCGCTCACTCCAGTGAGCTTCCGTCCTGCCTTTCAGGCGATTGACCACCCAGCGACGGCCCAAGCTGGGATCCGAGTCTCACAGGAGACGCCCTTGTGCTAGTCGTTGGAAAACGCCCATTCAGGCCGAGCTATGCTCGCCAAAACAGTCCGGGCTGGGCTGTAAAGGCCCTTAAGGCCAACAGCGAGATTTCTTTAAAAAAGAAAAATACTCGTCCGGATAATTTTGTCCAAAGTTAAAAAAACCAATAGGATTTATTTATGTGTTCAAAAAGCGCTACTCAAAGGCACTTGCTATTATAAACTTCGCTATTTTACAATTGGAATCTGTTGTAGCAGTATTTCCCGGGCAGTAATAAACGTAAAAACTTTTATGAAAACGCTCGTGAGATATAAACTGCTGAGTGGAACGTATTTATAATGTTCTTATATAACGCTCTCAAATTCATATTTAAACACCTTAATATTTTATTATTTCGCGCTATCAGGTATTCGCAAGATTTATTAAAAAGTCAGCATCATGTTAGAGAATGTTTTTACTTATGGATATAAATTATTATATTGCTTTCACTAATAATTGTTAATCATGGCAGTAAATGTTAAATTAGAAGCATTTCATATATATTTTTTTGCTGACGCTCATAAGTATACATTTTGTTAACTATATGAATAAATGATTTTTGAATTTTGTTGCAAACAGCTTTCAAATTAGTTGCGTAGTTTCCAGGGTGTAAGTGTATTGGGATGGGAATATGCTTTAATACCATGAACGCATATTGATACTATTTACAAGTATTTCAGTGATGTCATTGTTTATCTTACAAACTTTTGCCATTTATTTATTTATATATAACCATACAACAACCCTTCCATATAATAGCCATTGCGATAATATTACAATATAATATTATAATAAATGCTTAGATAAACATTTCAACCCTCGTCTACGTATACGATGAATTCGCTAAAGAAAACACGTTTCACACACAGTCAGCATAGAATCAGAAACACAACAGTCATTGTTCTAATTCGACAAACCAGATCTTATCATTTATCAATCTCCTCACGTACCATTTGAGAATCAAACTTTGAGCTGAAATCTCTAAACATACGTCGTTCGTGATCTGTATTCCAATTACATTCCACACAGTGTAATTAATAATGCATTGTTCATAAAATTATTGAAATAATAAGTAATATTTATTAAATTGTTTCAAGATTTAAAAAAGGCTTTCAATCTTATTAAGTTGATATTTGATAGCCAATTTCTGTGGTTTTTTGTTCTTAAAGGACCTTTCTACCTTTACTAACGTTATTAATTACATAACAATTATTGTTTCGATTGAACAGATAAATAGCGCTGGTCGAATGGAACGAGGGATCGCGCCGCTTTTGACAATTCACAATCAAACGAAAGGCGCCATCTTTTCGTTCTTTGTTCTTACATAACTGGTTATATTCTATTATTATTATTAATTAGCCTTTTTTGCTGACACCCAGTGTAACATATATAAATCACATGTGCCGGTTTTATTGATCAGCGTGTCGTGTGACACATAGGCCTCTTCCAGCTGCTGCATTTCCCCTTTTCTGTGTTCTCAATGATAGACAATTCAAAGTGGCGATATGATTATTGTGGGAGTGGGAGTGGTCGACAACCCCCACGGTGGCTTGGCGAGGTGTGTTTCATGGCGCTTTTCCTTTCTTTGTTTTTGTCTTGATCTTCCGGTTCCTGATGTTTTTGATCTGATTATCTTACTTAGCTTTAAAAATATAAGCGTTGCGGCCTCCGTAAACATAATATAAATACTATTGTTTTGACGAAGATATCTAGATATATTTTTATTATTTCAAAGAAAAAGTGGTCACAAAATGAAATAACTAAGAGCTGACACGTAACATCTTCAACTTCACAAGTATAGAATAAATACTTACAATAAAATACTTAATAAAAACACATTGAAAAAATACCGTTTTATTTTTATCACGGGTAGTTAAACCCGGCTCAACTTTTTAATTTCCGCTTCAACGGCAATAAAATTTTAAACTCAACTTTATTTACAGTTGATTAATGTTGATAATTGTTTAAGTAGATGAATCGACTAACATGGTTTAAATAGTTTCGTATAAGGGAGCGTTTAAGTATTACGTAACGCAAGATTATGGAGATTATTGACCCCCCATGTAACGCTCCGTAACGTTTTTCTGTACCCAATAGTAAAACGTTTCGTGACCACCCAGTGACTCTTTATACCTAAAAGTTACCATTATGTGGTGTAAAGTACTGGAAAGTGGAAAATAATATGAATAATAACGCGTAATTTAATCCCCGCCCCGCATCGTAACGTTTTACAAGAGGACCCCTCCCAAAATTCGTTACGTAATACTTGAACGCTCCCTAAGTATAAAGTTTTTGTATTGCGTTTAGTTTCAGCGTTTTACAGTTTGGGAGTAATTTTGGGACTACACATACCAATAACAGTCAAACGATATGCGCCATCGTTTCGTCTTTTGTTTTACATACTCTATTGACATTGTAAAAGTACAAGAAATGGAATAGTACTGTTTTATGTATTCTGGCTGTATTTTCTCATGCAACATTATGCTGTACGAAACCGCATAACTAAAGTTTTCTAGTACACTTTGCCAGGCGCTCGCTGAAATCTTTGACACGCAACTGTATAATTGTACCTTGTATCCTTTTGATCTCTGAACGACTTCCACACTACATTTCACTGGATTTTAGGTGCTATAATCGTACTACCTAGGTGACACTGAACATTTTTAGAAAATGAAAGACGGCTTAATGAAGAATGTTGCCATGTAGCCCTCAACGAAAGTCATAATAAATCTTTGACCGAGCATTTTCTCGCGTTAGGTTCATTTTCTTTTTTTCCCCCCATAAAAAAAAAAAAAAAAATAAAAATATATTTAAATTTTTATTTTTTTTTTTTATCTTTTTTCTTTCCTTTCTTGCCAAAAATAAAAATAACTACCTTTATTCACCGTTGTTTTTTTTTTTTTTTTTTTATTAATAAAAAAAATTTATTATTTTTTTTCATTTTTTTTTTTTTTTTTTTACCCCCCACCCAAAACCAAAAACCCTTCCTTCCCCTCTTTAAATTTTTTTTCCTTTTTTTTTTTCTCTTTTTTTTTTTTAACCTCTTTTTTGGGAGAATTTGGGAAATTTTTTTTTTTAGGGGGGGGGGGGGTTTTTTTTCCCCCCCTCCGCCTTCCCTCTTTTTATTTTCCTCCCCTTTTCCCCGCCCCGGTCGCCGGTGACCCCCCCCCCCCCCCCCCCCCCCCCCCCACCCCACCCCCCCCCCCCTCCCTCTCTTGAATGGGTCCAACAAAAATGTATGAAGAAAAAAAAGATTAAAAAAAAAAATAGAAAAAAAAAAAAAAAAAAAAAAAAAAATTTTTTGAAAATATTCTGAGCAGTCCATCTGCCCACTTCGAACGTTATAATAAATGAAAACATAACGAAATAAAAATCCAATATCGCCCGCCGCAATGTTGGAATTCAATAATATTTTCTCTTCGTTGGTCAGAGCAGTTGACGGCGAGATTACGTTATGGCTACACAATTTTAAAAGATAAAATGGTATTTCTTTGGTTGTAAATCATTTTAATAAAAGGAATCAATTTTGATCCATATCAACATTAGTTTTTTTTTAAACCGGTACTTATGGGTCGGTCATACACTCCCGTGCCTTCTGTCAGTGAGTGTCCATGAACAGTAATGTCCCATAACACAGCTCCCAAGCCATTTGTTCTATAATTTTTGAACTCCTTATGTAATTTCTTGTGGTATTACTTCTCTGAAAAGTGCGCATGTAATTAGTAATATAATCTGTGATTGTTTATTTTTATGACATTTTTCAACAAATTTTCGTGGGCCATCACACATGATTTAATTGTTTTCATGTTCTTCGCGGGCTTTATGTTCAAAATTCAAATATTACAAAAATGATATAAGATAAAAAATATTTATTCATCAGTTCCATGAACTGTAAAACAATTTTTGAAGTGAAACTTCTTTATCGAGGTTGGAAAAAAATTTAGTGTAACATTTTTTCGTTACGCGTCACATTTTTCGGTTACGCGCCATGTTGCTTTTTGAAGTCAAACTTCTTTATAGGCGTTGGAATGAAACTTCTTTATCGACGTATGGGAGAAATTTTGTAGCAAATCGTCACGTTTTTCAATGATAGTAATGATTCTATTACAATTAATGAAATTCTATAATAATCTTCGTAGTAATAAGGTAAAATGAAATATTTGTATTCATGTCTATGATAATAAAAGCCTTTTGTTAAACTTTATCTAATTTAACGAATTTCTGTAAAGTTGCATATAGTAGATCATTTTTCGAAAAATAAGATCATAAAGAAGTTTCACTTCTTACGTGTGTACACCTAGTACACGCACAATTTATTTAACTAATTTTGTATTGATAATACTATTTTGCCTGATTGCGAGTTAAACTGATGGGCCTATAAATTAATGCGATGAACCACAAACTACTAGGTCAGTATGTCCGGTTAAGTTAATCAATTGATCTGATTCTGAAATTGTCAATTTTAATATTTGATTGCCCAATGTTGAACTCAATCTGTTATTGCAACATCATGACTCTTCAAATGCATTTTTAATAACAAGAATTTAAACAAAATGTTTTATTTTGGTCAAATCTTTTGTAGTGGAGCCAGGTGCTTTTATTTAGAAACTTCTAAGTTAGGGTATAAAGCTTTGAACTGGCACAAAGCTTTCAGCTGGGATGTAGGCCTCCAATGAAGGCGATAGCTATAATCCACTACGCTGACAACGTGCGTTAGCTTTCTTTCTTTTTTTTAATTATTTTTTATCCCCGTAAGAAAGAGAACCCCGGTAACCTTTGGCAGAGCTTTTACATGTCTGTTAATACATACTATTATTTAAATGTTTTCTTTAGATTTTATTTTATTTAATTTTAGTTATAGTTGCATGTTATTTTTAGTATCTTTTTGTTAATTCATTATACATTTCTTGTACTTTACCCTCTGTAGGTGTTTCTATTTTTTATTTTTCCTTATTAGGGTTGCCTGGATGAAATCGCTTGTTAGCGATAAGGCTGCCCGTTGCTTAATAAATTATATACACTACTTACTTTTTTTTACATGTATAATTATGTGTATTATGGCAATGAAGTATAAATAAATAACATAATTAAATAAACAGAATTTTTTCCTCAGATATTTATTCTGAGTTTTTTTTCTGTATTATATGTCAAAAAATGGATCGTGACGTATGAGTGACACACGCAAAATGTAACTGTCTCATGCTCACAACTTAAAACAACGTCTACGTAGAATTTATTCTACGACACTCCAGCATTAAAGCAGTTAGTTTTAATACAAAGCTTAGATGTTGGATTCAACCCAAAAGCCGTTGACGTCACAAATCGGGCGTTCGAATGAAGTGCCTACGTAATCGCAGGAGGTCCCAAGCGATAACTCAGTTCTTAATTAGAGACTGAAGTTTTCTTCAAACATAAGTTTCCGCAGATAGTTCTGCGAACATAACACTGTTTAATTAAGCCTGAACTAATTCGGCTCGCTGCTAATTGCAATTGCCGTAATAAAGTAAATGGCATTTTAGTGAATTCAACTTCAATGTAGTCTGAAGTCTCACAAACCTAAATGGGGCCTGTGACTAAAATAATTTGTGACAGAAATGAGCAGGGGTGGATCTACCTAAATGCTTTTTGCGCTGGAGCCTAGGGCCCCGTGGACACGAAGGGCCCCCAGTCCCCACTGGAATCAATAGGCGAAGTTTTTAATTTAAAAAAAATATCTGAAATTAAAAAAAATCAAATCAAGAATTTTCACTACCGGGGATTTCCCCGTAATAGCCCAGAGCCCCACAAATTCACGATCCCCCATGGAAATGAGTAGTACACAGTCAAATTTATATGGTCACGTAACCAAGAGCGTGCTAGTGTCATTCATGCTATTTTATTGTGGGTCACGTACTCAGAAATAATGATTGCTACGCTAGTTTCTTTTAATTGCAATATAATTCCTAAAGACATATGACAATTGACAAACGAAACGCAACATATCGTTTAATTGTTTTTTCTGCTACCCTTATATACTCGTACATCTGTTAGGATTAAAACGCCTTAGACACAATACGTTAACTTTATCTTAATGCGATTAACGTAAGTAAACGATAATCCAAACGTGATTATACATAACGTTTAAGTAATAGATGGGCTTTGAACTTAACACGATTTTAATATGGCCGTGACTGACTGTGAAATCGATTATTTTTGAGTTGGTCGTGGGATATTTTAGAGGATTCTTCAAATGTAGAATATCAAAAAACGTGTACTGAAAAAGAAAATTAAATTTTCCATTTGCTATGAATAAACTCAAGAAATAAAAAATGATCTCTGTCTTTCTGATTTTGTTCCATTGTTTATTTTTAATTACTAGTAGGTTATCAATCATCTGTGCCTAAGTGCCTAAAGCAAATCAGAACCATTGATGTTCATTGAAGATGGAACTCAGCTATGAGTGATGTATTTTTTTGATTATATAGATAATATAATTCACAAAAATGTAACCTACTGTATACCTACATACGGGGTTACAGCTTGTATAATATGTTAATGTTAAATAAATAGTAAGCACAATGTATGTTTAACTGCGGTGATATAAACTTTTTACCGTCCTATTTTTATTACTCACGGGACGTATTTTAGATAAATACTATTATATAACTATGTATTAGTTGTAGATATTTTATTTATATATAATAAACCTGCTTTCGAGTGGATTAGGATTGGATAGTAATCATAAAAATCAGTGACGCTACAACCTTTTAGATCTGGGCCTCTGATTTGTGTATCTGTTTCGTGATCATACTGTACCTGACACCCGCGAGACTAAGCCATGCCGAGTGATAAATGCGCACGAAGACAGATCTTCCATTAAGCACAGCCAGGGTTCGAACCTACGACCTCAGAGGTGCACGCTGAAGCTAATAATCCACTGCTCTAAAGCAATCACAGTTTAAATCTTTATCTGATGTTTTTTTTATTAGGTTTGCAATTACCAACCAACCAACCTAATAAATAGGCTTAAAAGGCGACAAATCCTAAGTCTTGATAGACACGATTGACAGATTGGAGCAGTCTCAATTGAGATTTTGCTCTGAACGCCTAACAGCTCTCAACACATCCTTTCATAGTCTAGCTGACTAAAAAAAAAGGTTTGCAATTACATGTCGTAAAAATCGTGTGAAAATTAAACTTATTTTTTTTACAGTTGATCTTAAAACATCAGTTCAAGTTAAAACAAATACCAATAAATTAATTGACAACAGTGGAAATATATGTTAGGCTATTGTGTATGTATTATGCCCGGAAGTAATCCTGGTAGCAGTGTCAAAAGGTTATTAAATCTTAAATTAATTTCGGTAACTGTTATACTAATTTATAAACTGAACCAAACCTTATAGGAAGCCTTGGAGGTACTTCGAACAGCTGAAGCTCGGGTGGAGCTGCGCGTTTGCCGACCTCCCAATGATGTTTTAGAAAGTATTACACCGCCGGACCCACCTACACCTCCGGCGAGGACTCCCCATCCACCACACTTGCCGCTGGATCCACTTAATTGCCATCCTTTACATGCCAGGTAAGGATTTTATTATCGCACTCCTATCAGGTTTTCTAGGCGGCGCCATGTGTACTCCATCAGAGAATTTTATCTAAACATAACAATTTCTTCACCATCCTTCCCTATTTTTTTTTGGTGTCGATTGATTTGCCACAAGGTATTAAGGATTTCAAATAACAGAATGAACCGTCGTCGTCGAGTCTCTATATCTTACAACGGATTACCAGCAAAAAACGCCAAGTTTAAATATATATCGGTAATTTTACAGCCAATAACAATATTTTATAATATAGTTATTGAAATCTAGTAATTAACGGAAATTCTCTAAAACCCTATTTCAAGCCGGAAGTTCTAATATTAAATTGTTGCACAGAAGCCATACATACTGGAACTAAACGAGAGAACAGTAATTGTGTATGAACGTGTAGGTCCCCCTTCCCCCGGAAGGGGTGTTGTGTGTTTCTTATTTATTTAAAAATGACTGCTATGAGCTATCGGCATTGCAGTAAAGCTAAAACTAAACAATATACTTACAAAACATAAGTAAAGCTAACTGCACTCTCTTTGAAAGACAAACACAGCTTACGTGAAAAATGTTTGAGAAAATTTTAAAGATACCCATAAGCTATTAACAAAAACATTGTGCTAATAAAATAAAATAAGAGCAATGTTACAGCGATAAAAAATTACAATAATAGGCGTATTTTGTAAACAGACAAATTTGAAGAAACTGTTTCAAAGGAAAACTTTCTTATGTGCGCTTTAAATATCCTTTTAACTTGTTTATTTCTTTTGAGTTTAGAGATATAGAAAAAGGTCACGTATAACGATATTCTACGTAAATTTCAGGTTATCACAAACAACAAGTAGCGCGACCACATCGTCATCTGAAGGGCGTGGGCGACGGGATGCGAGCCCTGAAGATAGACGCCACGACCTACAGTTACCTGATCTGGATCGGCCTTTGCCAATATATGATATTCAATATGGGGTAAATATAACATTCTAAACTATCATCTACGCTCGTAATTTGTAGGACTAGACTGGTAAAGTGATAATGCACAAAACAAAATGTAAAAACAATTGAATACAGTAGTAATTATTCAAACACTTTGTCAAACTTAACATTCCTATTAGTAATCGTATGCAAAAATAGGATGGTTAAAAATCATCTCACATTATGCATAATAGTAAAAATTTCGCGCAGAATCACGCAAGTAATATAATTTGTTTGTATATTAAATCATTCGTAAACAGATAGAATATTGTATTTAAAAAAAATCGGCCGTCTATCCTAATTTTTTAATTACTTAAATACTAAAAAAGTATATTTTTCATCTTATATTAACCGTATTTTTTCTAATATAAACCTTTTAAAAATACGTCAATAGACAAGCAATAACTCTTTCCGTCTAGACCACTATCAAAAAGTAGCAAGAACTGATTTCACAAATGCAACGCGATAATGCGGTCCAACATGTCTTCGATCTATCACTTATTCAGAGAGCAGTGTCCCCGTGTCAATTTACATAATTAAAGTGCGCATAAAGTCCTCGGGCTTCGCAATAATTATAATAGCTCGAGTTTCTTGGCTTTTGTAAAATACAGAATTACCGTTGTAAATATAGCTTAGTATTTTATATGGCTTACACGAGAGCCACTGGCTTAGTTCCTTTTTTAAAATATAAGAAAATCGTGTAGATTTATACAAATTTTTTAGTTTGTGCCCAGTGCACATTTGCTTTTTCATCAAATATTATAAAGACGAAGATTTAACGAATCTATAAATTTATGTAAAACAACGTATCCTAGTCCAGAAAGCCACCAACCACTTATTACTCAGTGATTAATATCGATTCAGATATTGAGCCAATAATTATTATTTACACTCCATTGTTTCTTTTGAACAACTCAATTTTGCAGTGTAATTTTCTAATGAATATTTACTCAATGTTTTTGACAGTTTCTGTGAAAAACTTCAATCTCACTTTTCCTGAAAACCTACGCTAGGCTGGAAAAAAACTAAGCACAGATTCGTGATAAGCACACCCCATTTACTAAGCTACCTTAGGGTACCTATTAAATATAAAACACTTTTTCATGAATAAAAAAAACCATGGCACTGGTACTCACTAAGCCACCATAATATCATTTAAATCTAATTTCGAAGTTTTTCCATAGTTGAAATCGGATACTTAATTAATAAGTAATTACGAACATAATACTGAAATATATAATTAACGTGGTAGCTGTATGACTTTTAAATTAAAACTCAGCAATTAATTAACTACGCTAAAAGTTGTATTGTTCCACCGTAGCAGTCCGTAAAAATATATAATTAATATTAATATCGCTAGTACCCTCTCCCTCGCAATTAATAACGCTTTCTGTTCACGCTTCGCAGGATGATGGATCGGTGGTAAGTAAAATATCGTAATAGCATTCGCAAAGTTAATGGAAATTTTATATGGCACAGAATTATTTCCTTATAATTCGCATATCAAAGTACTTTGAAACAATTGGAGACGATTAAATCATTCAAGAATTGTATGAGGTTATTCTTTAACTCATCACAAACTATACTTTGAGTTTATTTCCCAAGAGGACTAATTTGGCTTACCAGAAACGTGTGGAACTTAAAATGTTATTGTCTCATTTAAATCTCAACGCTTTTCGCAAATGAAAGGTAGTTTATAACTCGTTTGCATAAAGTTACGTCTTGCATGATTTATTTTTTTATTCAAATGAGGGTCTAATTTGGTTAACGATTTCTTGATGGTGAACTTCATTAATATGTATTCTTGGAAATGTTCTGAAATCTAATCTACTAAATACGTAAAATATTTGATAATTTATTAATAAAATTATGTGTATTTTGTATTGACTTTATTAATATAAACTAAATTTATATTCGCTTCGTTTAAATTTATACACGCTTTTAACTAAAGTACTCTTCGTCTCTTTCTGTCAAATTGTGTGTTACGCTGTCACAAAAAGACACAGGAAAGTTCTTATGTTTCTATGAATAAGGATGTACCAATTACGTGTATTGATAACCTTTTTGAAAATATTTAAATTCATACCTTTCATCATTATCATCATCAATGGGCATACAGCCCCTTGTGAGCCCTAGCCTCCTCAAGTATATTTCGCCATCGCTATCTATTCCGTGCTTCTTGCGTTCAATTTCGATCACCTATTTCAAGGTTTTGAGATCCTTGACAACTCCATCCCACCAACGCACCCTGGGGTCTACCGGGTTTTCTCTTGCTACCAGGTTGTGAGTTTAGTTATGACCTTAAAGTTCTATCGTCCGCCATTCAGTGCACATGTCCCAACCTCTTGAGCCTGTTACTAAATTAAAATACCGAATTCAAAATTTTACGGTTCAAAGTAATCCAAGAAGTTTCACTTTTTACTTATATGTTTCAGGAGTTTGACATAGTAATGACAAAGGTGAATGGTTCTTTGGGATTTACCCTTCGTAAAGAAGATCACAGCGCTTTGGGTCATTACGTACGAGCCCTGGTGCGAGAACCAGCGTTGAGTGATGGACGAATACAACCTGGTGATAGAATCGTTGCGGTAAGATTAAAGTGTGAATATAGTATGGACTAATAATGGACATATTCTTTTATAATTATCATATGCCTTTATAGTTACACAAAGTATGAAACACTTTCCTTAAAACAAGGAAAATAAGGACTCCCCAAATATTATTTTCATTGTGATTCTTCAGTTTGCTACTTGTTACTATATCCCATGACTAAACGCTCTTCGCATGCGTACTTTAATTCCTCTTTTTGTTGAAAAAGCGTGAAAAAGCACGCATCTTTATACGTAATAAATTTGTGTTCAAGTTTTGTTTTAAATTAATATATTGTGTACTCGCGTAAACCATATTATTTCAGGTACATTAACTACTAGCGATAATATTTCTCTTAATTCCAGGTCAACGATACATCGATGTCAAACATGTCACACGCAGACGCCGTGGCCTTCCTCAGGGCGTGTGGCTCAGAAGTCCGACTTCGCTTGTACCGGGATCACGCTGCCACACCCCTCTCTCCCATGTCACCCAAAGAGGAGGTCCCCACTGATTCTGATCCACCTCTGAATAAGCCTAAACCCCCGTTACGGTAAGATTTCTTTCAGGGTTTCTAGAAGTTATGTATAATCGTTTAAGACTGCTGATTTATAGCGTTCCTATAAAGTAGGAAATTTATAGAAAAACAACAAAAAATGCAATACAAAGGCAAGTAGATCCTTTTGTGTCCGGCACAAACATTCTGGTTTCCTCATGTTTTTACTTTATAGAAAAAAAAATCCTGAAATCGGGCACAGCCATATTGAATTTATTGTCAACGCTACATTCTTAAAAAATAATTTTCTGTTCGAAAATTAATTTAATATTTTTTTTAAATTGATAACGGTATAAAAATTATTTTGACAAATTGTTCGTTCCAGAGCGGAAGCAGTGTCGATGCTATGTGACCTCGCCGCCCGTCGCCTCACACCAGACGCCGCAGACGGGTCTCGCTCGCCCTGTCTCTCACCACGAAAGTTCCGCAAACTTACTAAAGACAACAATCACTATGAACAGCCCAATGGTATGTTAACGTCAGTTGGAACACACACACTTCCAATTTCAAATATTCGAGTTTCACAATAATCGCTACGACTCGTAGCTTTTCCAGGTTTAAGGAAATAAATTAAAATACTTTCTCACAACAGAGAAGTATAACAAAGGAACTTAATACAATTGTTTATGATTGGTGAAATAGAACTATTGATCCAGTCGCGTGTGATGATTGAATCTTGATTGGACTAGACATATGATGTTTTGTTTTGTATTCTGAATCTTGCTTTATGGTCAGGGCATGTCCAAGAAACGGCATTTAAACCTGAACTTAAAACTTCTTCAATTGATTTATTTTATTGACTATAGAAGTACTGACTACTACGACTACTCGCTTAACTCTGTAAATCTCTGTCCACTTAGCCTATTTGGAAGTAGTAACAATAGTATGTTTCAGTTAGAGGACACAAATATTTATTTTCAAAACACAGAAAATATACACAGTACATTTAAAACAGTCTTTGTCCATCTATTGGGTATTGGAAAATAAGTGTTTTTTTTTTATTTTTTACATGTTAACGCATGTTTTAATGTATTTTAATTTTTAGTTAGTATGTGTTGTACTTATATCTGTTAATATTAAAGTTTTATTTAAAATGCTTATGTCTAACTTTTGCACTTGTAACTTTTACACGCGATGCACTAAGATCTAAGAAATTTTGGAACAGATTTGCCAAGAAGAAGTGTTGAAGAACCAAATTTAATTGTAACAAAAATAACAAATTCTACTGTGTATCTGGAAGAAGTTGACTCGGTAGAAAATATAACATGTACGTGCCTACCTCCACTTCCTATCGAATCTGAAGTGACACTTGAAGATATTGAACATCTTTTTCACGAGAAGAAAAAGAAGAAAGAAGAAAAAGTGGATCAGGATTCAAGTGCCCCGTTAAGACCGCCAAGAAAAAAAACCACTAAGAAGTCCCATGAATTATTAGGCAAACAAAGTTCATTACAAATGGATGAAAAACAGCCAGCTGAAAAAAGACACATAAGTTGTGAAGTCCGGGATGACTTATTTATATTGAAATCAAATTTAAATGAGCTAGAACAATTCTTAACGCAATCAATTATTAATTATTCAAACTCACTCGGCCAGTTATCCAGTGAAACCAAATCACCCAGTAATGTGAAAGGAGAGGAAAATAATAAAATATCACCATTAGACCCAAATGTAATCGAAAACTATTATGAAAATGTTGTTGGTCCTCTTAATATAAAATTTGAACAGGTACGCGAAGTAGAAAAGGATCCTTCAATTGATGAAACTTTAAAAAGTATACGTGGAGAAACAAAGAATGATGAAACTCCCTTACAAACGTTTCCTTGTACATGTTCTTTCACTGTAGAAGAGTTGAGAAAATTTCATAAAGATGGACTTTTACCTTCAACAATCAAAGATGTTAAACAAGACGGTCCAATGTTTTTAGATGGGCCTGAACAATCGACTACTAATTTACCAATAAGCGGCCAACTTTTAACGAAAAATAAACACTTACCCATTCAAAGATCAAAAACGCAGAGATTTACAAGATCGCACTCTATTCGAAAGCGTCTTCTTTCTAAACGATTTAAATCTAAGACTATCAACGGACCAATATATTTGGACAAGAAGGCCGAAGCAACTCTCCTTGATCAAAGTATCGGCCAATCGGTAGACGATTATAAAACTGAAACATCCGAAGAGGTTCAACAAACAGTAGTGGACACATTTATAGATTGTAGACCAGAAAGACCAAACTTTTTAGTCATAGGTGCAACAGAAGAAGCAAAAACGGAAATTCAATTAGATGAAGTGGCTAATGGAACAAAACTTAAAAAGCCCGTGCTCACAAGCCCCACGACTCCGCCCTCATGTAGAGACCAAAAGCTAAGCCTGACAGGTGAGAACTGTCGGCGAATACCCGTGACATCATTTACCATCATACGCTGATTGAAGACTTTCATTCGGACCGAATCTGAGAAAAATTAAATCATCGATATAGCGGAATACTTTTCGACAAAGAAAATATTCTAAAAATCATTTGTTCTTCAGTCAGCGGCTTATCTGCCAGTCGCCAGTGGTGAATTATGGTGACATGCTATGCCTTTGGATTCCACATAACTAGCTCCTTACATTCTATATATTACCCATTGTACAAATACTTCACAAGCATACATATTAGGCATTTAGATTAGTAAAATATGCAACAGTTTGAGAAGTCTGCTTTACGGGGTATAAAGCCTAAAGGTTTTACATTTATCTCAAAAGCTAAACAATAGTTAGTGCTAGAATTTATATAACATAAAAAGGTTATAGCTACTTTCAGGCTTGTAATACGCTTTAAAAAAAGCCTATCTTTAGTAGTAGCTTACAATTCTGATTTAAAACAATCGCAAAACGCACACCCGTAGTAACAAAACATGTACCATAAATCCCACTCACATTCCATTTTAAATTCTTTGCCACGCTTTATATATCTTTAAACCTGTCCCATCTTTTCAGTTATACCTCAGAACTATGAGTTAAACAACTTGGATAACGATACTCTAGATGCGCCAAACGCATATCAGGAGCAACAAAGATACGAGCCGGCGTTTTCAGTTGATTCTGATGAACCGGCATCGATGCCAGCCGAGCTATCAAGCGATGAGAGATTCAAGCACTCGAATCCGACGTACCAAAGTGCGGTTTTACATAGCTCTACTACCGACAGTGCGTCAGATAAAGACGAGGGTATGATATATAGCTGACTTATTTTTTATTGATACAAAAATTCCTTAAAACACTTTTTATGACACTATATCAAGCCGATTTTAAAACACAGGCTACAGTTCACACACACCCATACAATTACACACCCACACCCTACAGGCTCTAAGGCCTGTTTGGTCGGCGCTTAGGCTCGTTTGCCCCCAATGCTATAAAAAAAAGAACATGTATGTCTGTATATATTATTTAGTCTGTAAACCTTTTGTTGCCGTTTTGATTAAAAAATATTTTGTATTATAATTAAGTAAGCTGTAAGTAAGGTTTTTCCAAAAAAAATAGATCCATACTGTTCAAAATGTAAGTAATTTTAAACAGAAAATTAATTTTCTTCAGTGCACACGAATAACAATATTTAGTGAACACAACTAGTAGTGACTATACTTTATGGATCCAATAAAAATAGGCTCATGTAATTTTAATTTCTAGGAAATGGTTTGAAAAAGTGGAAAGGTGTCGCATTATCGCCCGATAACGAGAGAAAGATTAAACCTCTTGTCACAGATGCTATACCAAAGCCCAAAATTGACACCGTCCAGAAAGAAAACATAAACCCTGAACCACCAGTCGAGGCTGAGAGCACTGAACCTACGGTAAGATTCATCTTAGTATTTAATTGAATCATTTATGTGTCACCCGGATGTAATAATAATAACAAGGAAGTAACGCAACTGAATAATATAGTGTTTATTTTTTTCTTTACCAACAACCAAAATTTTGATATATTTATTAGACTATTGGGCCTTGGGGTTTAAGTGCATAGGCGCTAATGAAAGATTTAAGTTGGCGCCTGGTAGATAGTACCGGTGGCCCCAGAGCTGGTGCTTTCCTCGCTCAACAAATATCGCAATAAAGCGAGGAAATGCTGACAGCGTTAACGGCACTGCCACAGGGACCACACTTTTTTAATTTGTTTTAATTTTCTTTTTATTCATTTTTAATTATTTTTATTATTACTATGTAGGCTTAGAAAATTGTAAATACTGTATTGTTATGTATAGATTTTAATATATAATTTCACACTATAATAAGGATAAAAACGATTATTTTGATATCATAAAAACCTATAATAAAATGATCAATTAACGCATTCAAAACTGGGGCTCACCCTCGCATATATCATTCGTGTAAAGTATTCAAAAATAGTTATAGTTTCTTCCCTGCTTACTATATTAGCCATTAATTTCGTTTATAAGCCAGCTTTATACCTGTTTATGCCCACAGATAGTGACTGTAGAACTGAACCGCGGGTGGAACAGTCGTCTGGGGTTCAGCGTTCAAAGCCATCCTGAGTCGGGGCAGAGTTACATCTCCGCGGTCTATAGCGACAGCGTCGCCGCGCGGGACGGTCGGCTAAGACGTGGTGACGTCATACTTCAGGTATGTGTGTAGGCGTATAGGCTATTTGACAAGGTTTTAATAACCATTTATGATGATTTACTAGTCACTATAGAATCTATATTGTTATTTTTTATTACTCTTTAATGTTTAATATTCTACAGTTTCGATATTTGTAAATATGTGAGGAACATGTACAGTGTACACTAACTTTTTTTAGTATAGTAGTTTTATTCTACGAGTACATTGTCTACACATATAAATATTTAACTAATGTATACAAGCTGGCTACTGCACAAACCGTGCCAGAGCCATAAAGGAAAAAATAATAATAATAATGTGTACAAAATATTGTAAACCTATTTTAAAAGTGTAAGTGTGGAGTTTTTGCCCATTCTTCTCCACACGAAATTACTGTTAGGAAGGGGCAACTAGAATCATTTTATATTTTATTTGACGTTAAAAAGTGCCATTTTAGGTGGTCTAATTGAAATAAATGATTTGACTTGACTTGACTTCAATAAAATTTGTTTTTTTTAAATTCTATTAAGTATTGGCTTTAAGAATTCAAATAAAACATTCATAATTTTAAGAACCCGGCAAACCGGAACTATACAAGATGGCGTCGAGAAACGTTCGTAAACACTTCCATAGTGTCAAATAGCCTTGCGTTCAATAGTTTCACAGAGTATTCATGGATTTAATCGACCATGAAGTTTTTTATTTATTTTGCCTACGTCTTCTTTGAGGTAGAATAATAAACAAAAGAAACACAAAATCATCTGAAGTGTTACACTACAGTACAAATTCATTTAAAATAACATTAAAGTGAAACAAACTAAAATGTTGGAAAAAAATGCAGTGAATACAATAACGAAACGAAAACATATATTATTAAGGCTAGATGAACTATTTCCGAACCAATTCGACTTAGAAAAAAAAAAGAGCGTACCAACTCTTAAAAGGCCGGAAACGCACTTGCGAGCCTGCTGGCAATGTGAGTGTTCATGGGTGGCGGTATCACTTAACATCAGATGAGCTTGCCCGTTTGCTTCTATTACATTTAAAAAAACGGTATTTCTTTTTTTCTATCTTCCTATATACTTAATATCTTCTGTGTATTAAAACGAAAATATGTACAAATATTCAGGTTTTTGACATGTCCTTTTGCAAGATTTTGTGTGGATACTATGAGCAAATTTACTTTACCTTTTTGTGCGTGTTAACACCTTGAAATAAAGCAATAAGGATGATAATGAACAAGAATATAAACCGATAATGTCGAAAAGACTCTGCTGGCACCAACCTTTCTATAATTTTAAAAATAAAGAGAAAATTACATTTTCTAATTATTCAATGACAAGCTATTTCTTTCAGGTAAACGATGAAAACGTAACATCTATGAAGACACCAGAAGTTATAGACTTACTCAGAATTTTACGAGGCTCCATATGTATCACAGTTCTGAGACCGAATACACAATAAAAGGCACAAAAATCGCAAAAATATTTCAGTGTATTTCCAATAAAAATATATTGCACTAAAGTCTATAATGAATATCTTAAATATAACCTTGAAAATAGTTATTTACAATATTAATATAATGTGCGTCTAAGAGCAATAAATAATTCTGAGAAAATATATGATATCAATATAATGTAATCTCCCTTAGAACTAGAAATTGAAATATTTTAAATAGCAAATACATAGACAAGAAGTCTGTGGCATAGTGTGTGCCTTGGAGAACACCGTTTAAGTTCCTAATACTGTTGGGATGTTATAAAAATGTGGAATTGATCTCTATACAATTGGTACTATATTTTAATATTCAATATAAATATATTATCCCCAATTAAACGAGGGCTGAGCATTGTGAAAAATATACTAAGATCTCCGTCAGATTACGAGTCTTCGCAATTCTAAAAATTTATAGATCATTCTGGGAAAAATAACCCAAAACTACGAAATATTAATTAAGTCTCGTTACTATTACATAGGCAATGGGCGTGGTTACAATACATTAAAAATAATGTTGTGGCTTAAACATACAAAAAATAACTATATTTACTATCGAATATTGAAATTTTAAAACATAAAATATTTATAAAAATTAGTTAAAGTTATAAAAGCACAATTCTAGATCAGATATTAGGAACAATGCACGAATCAAATATTTTACTCACTTAAAATTATAAGGGATTCTCTAAGCATTACTCCCATATTTCAAAAACATTCGATTTTGACATAAGAAAGTCATATTTCGCGCTAACTCTCGCTTCTGAATATTACCGTCAATGTCATGTCAGTTAAAGTAAATATTAACGTATCTGTCAATGTCACATTCAATCATACTTGAACTCGTATAACTTGATGCGTTTACTGTTAAGTGAGTAATGAAAGTTCATGAATCGCTTTTGCGAAGAATCATAATTTTATTATGGTGTTAACCTAAAAAATTCTAAACATTCATCTGGCATATCGTCCTTCGTGTTGGATTATTTCATAGTATAAAGACAAAATATTTACTAGTATTCCTAACGGTTTCAGAACTATGATATTTAATCTAAATTATAAGAAGTTTATCATACTCTATTTATATAAATGCATATAAAATACCTGAGATGGCGGTATAATGTCGTCGCGGAATAGATAAAGAAAGTAATTTTCATGTTTCCAGCTTATTTATCTACTCCGTGAATGTTATAGAAATATTAGATCTAGTGGAGTGGTCACTGTTTAAGAGAGTAGGTCCTACAGTGATGTTGGTACAAGATTCACCGAAATCTATTTCCCATAAGCTTATTGCGATTAAAAAGTATCCCCATATCTTACGTTCAAGCGAACTAAAGCCGTAATGCCAAAGGCATGTTTCAAGGTTTTTGTAATAGTTTTCTTCGATAAATCTTGTATTAACAGAGGTCTTGCACGAATATCATCGAATAACTATAAAAGAAAAGAGTTTTTGGAGTTTACTCCTTAAGAAACGATTTGAGTTATAAGGCCCGGTACGGAAATTTTATGAGGAGTAAAATCAAGTGTAACACGAAAAGTTGAGGCGTTATGTGTTACACGAAAAGTTGAGACGTTATGTAGAAAGAGACAAATGGATTGAACGTGTAAAAGAATGAGATGGAATACATAACACAGACTTTTCTATTTTGAATTCACGTTTTGACAGCCACGTTACAACATTGTCAGTGTTGACAGGTTAAAAAAATAAAAGTAGATTGTCTAGCGTGCCATAGAGTTTTGTCAATAGTAATGGTCAGTGAAATTAAAACTAAAAAGATTGTTCATTCTTATTCTTCTCTTACTATAAAGGTAACTTTGGTCACAGAAAGAAAATCCTATTTGGGCATAGATGATGTAGGTACGTTTTATTACTACTACAAACATTTATATTATAAAAACATATATTCTTACCACCTATAGTATGAAAATATGGTCGACAGCCACAGAACATTATCGCAATTTTATTGTTCGTAAGGAGTAAACTCCAATCGTGCGTCGTAGCTGACACACACACACTTTTTTAATCAAATTTTTTGACTGATTTAAACAATTATCGAATTGACGTATACGTATATGTAAAATTCGTGCTAAGGCCTCAGATTGCTAAGATTATGTGTAAATAATGCACGACTAAAAATCAACAGTAAAATTTATTATTATTTATATTTAACCGATGATTCATAATTTTTTATTACGAATCATCAATTTTTCAAAGCTATTGTATGTAAATATTTATGAAGTAGGTAGTTGAAATGTAGACTTAGAATTTGAAAATGGATCTAAATTATATAAATTCTAGTCATGTCAGAATTACAATTTATAAAATTACAATTTCTAGATATTAAAAATATTTACCTAGATGTTATAAATTAAAAGATTTTATCGACAAATCTATATTATATGTTGAGCGAATACACGAAATCATAAATTAGGATGTATATTGCGTGAACTTGCTTCTGTATATGTTTAAATCGGTTAAGGCTATAAAAGTCTTAGTATTCTAGTAATATGTTAAAACAATGTGAAAGGTATGAAAACTCTCTAAAACATATATAAAATTAGAACAATATTGTGCAAATAGCCTTATTCACCTTTATTCTGTATTCCAAAATTCTCAAATATATAATAATATTTTAATATATGCTATTTTAGGCCCATAATTATATAGCTTATCGTTTTTATCTTAAATACTTTCGAACATGAAAAGATCGTGAAACTTTTTGGTTTTTCAGTTTTGGAATACAGATTATATAGTTCTTCAATTTACATAAGATTGTTTCATAACAGTATTGAAAAATATTCTCTTAAATATAATAGAATCCTACTAAGTATAACTTCTAGGTATATGAGAACCTGCAGATTGAACGAAACAAAACTGATATTCTAAAGTTATTGTGATGAATTTGTGTTAGATGTAACGGTTAGAATAAAGTAGAAATTTATAGATGTCTGCAGAAATGCTAGATTTTAGTCATTGAATATCTCTAAGTATAAGGTTTTCAAAAGACCTCTCCTAAAAATATTATTTTATTAATGTTTTATTGCTTTATTTACATTTAATTTCGATATATTACATTCTATTTTCATACAAAATAATTATGAGAAATTTCATGATTGAGCTGTCTATAATTTTGTATTTTGCGCCATCTAGTGTTGTGCCTGAAAAGCAATAACACTTTGCCTATATCTTATATTAACTAGAGCTAGACCGATATTAGATAAATTTATCGTAATAATAAGTACACAAAATATTTATTCCTTAAATATGAATTCATGTCATTTGTGGTGTTTATTTACAAAGTAAAGCGGTGCTCAAAATGTATTTTATCGTGATTTTGTCAAATGCGTAATTTTAATCTATATCGTTTAGCTTGGCAAGATTTTGGCGGGAAAAGTTCGCTCCGTATTTTAAATAGGAAAATATCTAAATACAATTTCAACGCATTTACAAATCTTGCCAATTCAATTATCTGGTCCTATCACGTATGCTTAATTCAATATTATTATATATTCGTTGTCTTGTTAATTGCCTTGAAATAAACATTCAATTTAGGTGCACGGTTAACGGTGTCTATAAGAACATATTTTTCTTAAATATTCCATAGACTATTGAATATACATATTTTTGGGTCCTTTGCTATGAAGTTTCGCCTCTAGTCGCCATTTTACGTTAGTTTTAATTTATACCGCTCAATGTGTTGATTACTCGGCCTTGTATGTGAAAATTGCAGTGAACATAAATATATTTTTGTGAGAAATAAACACAGTGTATATACTTTAATTTTTAAAAATAAAGTGTAATTATGGATTAAATTGCCTTTTATTATTTTATCCTATCTAAACATACAAAATTAAAATAATATAATGAAATCAGGCTTATGTAGAAACATACATGTACGTACATTTTATATTTCATTGATAACTTGGTAAGCTACCCTATAATAGAGCATGGCACTGAGTAATTTGTGCATCATCAGTACAGAAATAAACTCGTGTCTGAAGTCGAAACTCTGCTACGTGGAGTCTTGGACAGGGGTCAACTAACTCAAGTCCAATTTAACCCCAAGAAGACAAGTTGGCGCGGGTTCCGATAAAAACACCCTTTTTCGCTACTCCTCTCTTCGAAGACTCTTCTTAAAGCCACAGCCATCAATGGAATACTAAGCGTTGACATATCGAACGACTACGTTACGGAAAGGCGAGCTTTGTGTGCTCAGCGAGGCAAGACGGTACTTCACACAGGGCCATAGCTTGCTACTGTATTAAGCGCAAAATCGACCCCACATGAAGTACTGTTCTCACCTCTAGGCGGGAGCTCCCCAGTACCAGCTCGAACCACTTGACCGTATTTAATCAAGAGTGGTTCAAATCGTCGACGACCAATCCCTTAGCGTTGCGTAGCCACCACGATCCCTCTGGCATGGGAGTGTCCATGGGCGGACGTATCACTTAACATCAGGTGAACCTCCTGCCCGTTTGCCTCTGCTCTATAATCAAAATCATCAAAATATATTGTCATTAGAAATGCCGATATAACGCCAATAGGCATTTTATTTTATTTTTTAACATCAAATGCCAAAAAGTAATCTAATATATAAAATTCTCGTGTCACAATGTTCATTCCCATACTCCTCCGAAACGGCTCGACCGATTCTTATGAAATTTTTTATGCATAATCAGTAAGTCTGAGAATCGGACAACATCTATTTTCATCCCCCTAAATGTTAAGGGTGGTCTCACCCCTAAATTATTATTTTTTTGATAAATCTTTTTGTGTATATTTATTTATGATACAGCATACAAAAATACATACGACCCTTAATTGTCACCCCTCTACGATCAACGCCTATTTTTATTTATACATATGTAGATATTTTTATTGAACTAAATAAATGTTTCCTAGAAATAATATACATGGCAAAACGACGTTTGCCGGGTCAGGTAGTTACAATATACCTATAGACTAACTTCAT